TGACGATCAAGTCGAAAACAATATTTTTCGCTTATATGTGTTGTTCTAATTCTCATAATTGTGAATCTTTAATATTCTGGATATTTATGATATAATTTTATTTTCTCATAACTTGAGAAATAAATTACTAAAACATATACATTTTCAAAACAATACTTTCTCAGTTCACTGTTCCATCTCAACACATTGAATATTTGATTTTGCATACCATGATTTGAAAATGTAATAAAACATACCTGCATGTGTAGAGTTATGCTTTTGCATTCATCACTTATATAGCCAGTTCGTTCCTTGATCTTTTCTAATAATTCAGCGAATGACGATGATTGTAACAGCAGTATCTTTAAATTTTCTTTAAACTCTCAAGACGGGCTTTTAGTCCATGGATTACAAAGCAACCACAAACCATTACAAGAAATAGTTCACAATATCCTACATGATTTCATGACATATTCTTCTCGTTACAAAGTTACACGAAATGTTGACTGACGATTCAAAAACTTATACCTAAAATGTGACACATAACTTGAAGTTCTAAAGGTTTTTATCGAATCTTGATCCATCTGGTTTTCGCTTACGACTAAAATGACATTGAAACATTACAAATATGTATTTAAGTTGCATTCTATGCAAGAGTTTACTTTTGATATGAATGTAATGGGTATGATTAGTCCAAAAGTTAAAAAGGTTTATCTCTTTTTATCTTTAGAATTTATTTGTAACGTCTTCGAATTTAGCCCAGCTTAATAACGTCTAATGAATAGTTTCCATGAGTAATTTTGAATCATTTGTGCAAACGAACACACCTCTTAAACACAGCAGTACAGAAGATGCTGAACAAGCACGCAGTAAAACAAACGACTCAATACTAAGTAACTGAAAAAGGTATTACTAGCCTGTGACGATGATACAAGTGTAAAACTCATCAACTATTGAACATTTCTTCTTAAATTTCGTGCAAACTAGTGATTTGTAAAAATTTTTGAGTAATAGCTCTATAGAGAAACTGGTTTACAAGTTCTTGTTAACAACTTGAAAAATGATAATCAAGTACAAGTGTAAATCACAAAAGAGAAAAGAGTCAGTTTACGTTCTTTGCAACGATTTAGTGATTTCCACCAGCAATTGACTACCTAAATATGAGAATACATGAAAACCTTGCAATATGACGAACATCATCAACTTCCAGTCATGTAAATCCGGTATGATCACCGTATACCAAACTGTTCAAAATCGGTAGAAAGTAACATAGCAAGACTCTGGAACCAGCTTATATTTTTACAGCGTCTTTTTCCCGACGTGACTAAACCCATTACTACACTTCTATTTTTACTGATCTACATTTTCAAGACGTTGAAAATTTTTGACAAACAAAATCATTTTACGTGGAAATATCAGGATTCTGTATAGTAGTTACTCACTTATTACCTGCATATTCCCTACGCTTACTTTAGATCAATCTTCTATAAATTGAAGCAGAATTAAGAATAATTCAATAACGAAAATATCCTTTACGACAGTGTCATATGCGTAACACCTTATTATATACTTTTAACACAATGAACAAGACTCGTAAAATATTATTTAAGATAATCTCTTGTTCTCACACCAAAACTGTGTATATAAAAAAATTAAATCAATAAACAACTAAACATTATCAAAAATTAAAACATGTCGATTCAATATTCATTGAAAGACACAGTCCATTAACACAAAACTTCATTAACAATATCAATAAAATTAGAAAATTAGAAAATACAAAGAGAGAAAAGTATTGCAATACAAAATATCAACATCATCATCATCATCACCAAAAACACCGACACCATCGATCACCAACAGAATTACAGTCAAAATTAACTAACACTTCAAATCTATTATTCACCATCAATCAGAAACTAAAAATCTTAACAATTCTAAATAATTGGAAATACACTGCTTGTCATTTCTGTGGAAAAATAACTTGAGAAATGTAGATATAGATATCTGATCAGTATAGAGAAATTTACACAGAATAATTCTGACAACTGTCAGACAGATTCACATGAGAAATATGAAGTTAGAATATTCGTCTGAATTGTGGATCGTGTTTCAGGTAACTAGTAATATTGGCTACTTGGTTTTCCGGAGTACCGTAATGTGGTGGCACACCCAAATCAGCATACCCAAGCTTTTGTAGCACATCACTATCTCGGTGTATTGATGCGATGAAATATTCAGGCAATTTGGATTCATTTGAAGCCCATGACGTCAATGAAGCCAAGTGTATTGGATGGACAACCTGTGAAGTACTCGGTTCAAGTCTGTGTGTATAAGAAACACGTGGTTAATTTGGAATTGTGAATTGTACTATTTCAAGCTGCCAAAACTCAAATCAATAGATAAAGCTGTTCCAGTCACAAACGTCTTATATTGCAGTGGTGTGCTACTCAGCAGTTCCATTATGATGATGATGCAAGTAGTAGTGATGTTTCTGTAAATCAAATGCACTGCTTTAACGTATTCATCTCAACCGAGTGTAGACGAATTGCAACTGAATTTCATAGTTTGTAGGTAATTTACACAAACATACTGACACTTTTTTATTACGTGAATCGTATCATAAAATTCTCATTTGAAGTATTTCATTGAATTGACAAGCAGACCATCCAGCTTAACGAAATCACCACAATAAGTGAACCACGACGTAGAACTTTGTACATACTTACCTCAGTTCAAGTTGCCATACCAAATTAGCACAAATTAGCACCAAATTGTCAATTTCAATCACCTAGCAGTAGATTCAGTAGGAAGTATTTGCAGCAATCAACAAAGATTTGGACTTCAACGACATCATTCAAGATGTATAATCCAGTGAAATAAACGTGCTGACGAATTCCAAAGATTAGAATTCGAGCGAAGACAATAAATGTATGCATCTACGCCGTTCCCATAGATTTTGAGCAATGATATTCTAAGTCTTTGACCCTCACTTACAATTGTATCATGGAGCCCAACCACGTAGTGTCCACCTACCAACATTACTCAGTCCACATGTCATTGACTTCATGTATTTCTGCCTTGTTTATGACTAGTTAGCTCTAGCCTTCATCCAACTTACCCCTACACCACAAAACATAGATGGTCGAGGCAGTCCTTGATTAGACTTTTGTAACACATACCCCAACCACCTCAACTGATGAAGTTTCAGTACATCGTCTATTAATCTGCCGTCCGTACCTAGGAACCGCTTCCTAACAACAGCATTGCTTACTACGCGGTTCCACGATGTACGAACATTGCTTCAAAGACACATACTATCGAATACCAATAGCTTAATAATATTTTCTATTCTTAGTGGCCATGTTTCACAGCCATATAAAAGGGCGGAGCGACTTATTGCGTAGTAGGCTCGTGCTATGGTTAGCAGACGGATATCTCTCCTACACCTTAAGTGACACAGGTTGGTAAAGGCCAGTCAAGTCCACTGTATCCGTGCTGAGATTTCGTCTCACACCAGGCTATCAGCACTGATGAGTCTCTAAAGACAAGTAAAGCGGTCAACACGCTCAACTACTTCACTCGATGCGAGCCAATCCTGAAGAAAAATATTGCATTTTGACCATGAGAATCGCATCCCGAACATGCTTGCATTGATGCTTAGGGTAGTCAGAAGACTGCATTTTGTCAACATCTTCACTAAATAGAATTATGTCGTCGGCATATTGTATTTCAACAAAAGAATTTCCTGGTAAAAGTTCAACTCTTCAAAAGTCAAAGGATGAAAGCGTCAATGATAAAGTTAGACAAGTATGGAGAAAGTGGACATCCCTGACGGACACCTCTTGAAGTAATCAATTCTGATAACAGTTCTTTCTAAGCTTTCACTTGACTAGTTGCGTTTGAGTAGATAGTTTGTATAAGGTCAATGTACGTCTCTGGTACACCTTTAAGTGACAGACACCACCATAGAAGCTCCTATTGTCGGACATTTGAATGTGTGTCTTTGTTCCAGGACTTGGCATAGTGTGAATTTCTGGTTAATGAGCGCCTAGCTTTTTGGAGGAGGTCCGAAAGCTTTCTGTAAAACTCATCTTTAACCTCGTCTGCACTGCATTCAGTGGGGGCATAGGCAGATATGACGAAGAGGCAACGGCGAGTGTCCCTATCCTTCCGAGTCCTTACTGTCCCGTTCAGTCGGACAGCGCACAAACGACTATCTACTGGGATCCAGTCTAGGAGAGATAATTCTGCCCTAGGACTCAACGCTATGCCTACGCCAGCAAGACCCCGGGAAGCAGCATCAGGGCTACCGGATACACGAAGGGTAAATCGAGCTGCTTCTTCGTTTTGACAAGGTGGAATCAGGTTAATGACTTTACTAGGATCCTGTATGCGCGTTTCCGAGACGCAGCATACATCGATGGCACGAGATTCTAAAGTCCGAGCTAAGGAAGCCTGTTGCCCTATTTGACACAATGTCCGTACATTAAAAGCTCCAATATGTAGTCTAGAACGGGGTTTCAGGAGACCAGGAACGACGTTTCGTGATCTCGCTTCGTCTGCATTAACGGTGCAGTGAGAAAAGGGAGTGTGAGTACAGTTAGTCGTAGAGGTAGGAGAGACATTAGGGGGTGTAGGAAGGATTTGATTTTGACCAATTTGGTCTCGCGTGCTGTAAGTAATCTACATCATTCGAGTAACCTAGCTAATGTTGTTGTACTCTTACTGTCTATTCACCTGAAGTAAATGCATCAGAACATTACGATAAACATGTTTATAAATGACTTCATAAATATTCAAAAAATTTAATCTTCTTAGATACTGTTTCTGAAATAATAAAATATTCATTGACAATGGGAACAGAGATCCTGTTGGCACAGTTTTGTATCGTATCTTACTAGTGTAAACACATCAGCTGAAAATTTTATTTCTATATATTTCATAAGTTAAAGTGCTCAGTATTTGTGTACATTTATTAGGTATACGAAGTAACTTAGAAAAGCAAAGTCACACTGTTGTCATTGACACAGAAATTCTTTAAATGTTTCAACGATGACTGAACTTACTTGATCAGGTGATGTCATAATTGCAGCTAAACAAGTAATCGGATTTGGTGCAGTAGACAATATATCTCTACTCCAAATTTTGTCTAATTCTTCAAAGTTAGGATTTTCAGGAAGACCCAAATGAACAAATAGTCCAGCATCTGCCATACGACGTAGAAGAAATGGAGTTGAAGGATATAATAAAATTTTCTTCAATTCACTGAAACAACGTTCACCAGATATAATTGACAAGCCTTTAGCGTTTGAGGCTATAATCTGTTATAATTAATAAATAAAATCATGATTTGAATTTAAAAAAAGCCAAAAACATCGCAGTTATAACAGGTTACACAAGCACATAAACTATAAAAAAACACATTGGAAAATATTATAATGCATCGGAAATTCCACCAGTCTTATCAAAAAATCAATCCGGCCAAAATTCTAAAATGAAGGTGAAAATCAAATCATATACTAATTAAAATCATATGATGACATCATCACCTAACATACTATTTGTCTTAACAGCTTACGTCATGTAAGCAATTTGGACCAAATGTCTTCTGATACATACCATGAGGTCTAAACTAAAAATACGTAAAATGTTTATTACAATGATAAACCTTTCTTTTTGATTAAATAAAACATAGTGTGCAAATGCTTCGTTCACTAAACAAACATAATAATCCAGGAGGTAAATTAGGTGTTGATATTACCACTATTCTTTGAAAGTTATTTTAGAGCATCTGATGGAAGTTTAGAAGTTAATTGAGGACTTCAATTACTAATAGCATAACAATTACCACTAGCGATTCAAATGGATTATTCGCTGTAATATAAAACCGTATATTTACAAGCGGTTGTTAGTTAGATGTCAAGCATTTTGAGAACAAAAACGTTTAAATCATTTCCAAAACGTCATTGTGAATGGCATTAAGAATACTGTTATCCATCTTCTTTTCAGTCAGTTCATGTTTGCACCTGTCATCTCTTCAGCTAAAAATTTGCCGAATTTTTGTTGTGAATGTTGTTATTTATCATAACTTAATGATGGTCACTATTAGTGAGAAAAGTGAAGTAGAATGAATTACTTTTAGTGAATGCATCGTTTTTCCTAATTGATCTGCTGAAAATTACGAACAAAACAGTACGTAGGAAACATTTTTGGATCTGAATTTTCCCAATTTTTTCTCAGAACGAGATATCAACTACAGAAATCAGAGTAGTCAGTCAGTTAGTTCGAACGTAGAACTTCGTACATACGCATATCACTCCAAGTCGCCATACTACATTAGCACAGAGATGCAATTGTCACTTGAAATCCCACAGCGGTAAAGGCAGTAGAAGTATTAGTGGTAATAGAGAAGATTAGGGTTCGAAGATATTATTCAAGAAGAATAATTCTGTTGAATAAATTTGGGAAGACAAAGATAGAGGTGAAGAGGAATTCATAAGATTAGAATTTGAGAGAACACAAATAATGGATGGATATGTGCCATTGCAAACGATTTTAAGCTATATCATTTAAAGTCTTTAACTATCGGTTACTATCGTCTTGCGGACCCCAATCTGGTAATCTACACCTACCAACATGACTCACTCCAGTTGTCAGTGGCTTCATAGGTTTGTTATATGTTTTGGTTTGGCTGCCTCGAGCTTTCATTAACCACACTGCTACATCACAAAACATAGCTCATCGGGGTAGTTGGTGGTTGGGCATACGTAACACATGTCTCAACAACCTAAACTGATGAACATTCACGACTCCACCAACTGATTTGTCATCCCTACCAAGTAACCTTTTCCGAACACCATCATTGCTTACTCGGTAGTCCTAGGATATATGAGCAATGATTTGAAGACACCTATGATCGAAAACCAATGACCTACGAACATCCTGTACTCTTACTGGCCATGTTTCACATTCGTATAGTAGGACGGAGCGAACTGCAGTGCACTAGCCTCACCCTTCGGTTAGAAAAGGAATAACTGGCAAAAGCCAGTTGAGCCTTTTGTATCCGTGCTGAGATTTCGTCACACACCAGGCGATCAGCACTGATGAGGCTCCAGAAATAAATGTAGTGGTCAACACGCTCAACTACTTCACTGCCTATTACTAATTCAGGTGCTGACACAAGTCCATCCTGAAGCAACATTTTGCGTTTTGATCGGGAGAATAGCATCCTGAACATGCTTGTATTGCCGCTTAGGGTGTTTAGAAGACTGCGTTACGTCAGCGTCTTTATCAAGCAGACGTATGTCATAGGCATATTCTACGCCAACCAGCGAGTTTCCAGGTAGAAGGTTAACCACTGGAAAGTAAGACGATGAAAGTGTCGTTTCTAAAAGCATGTGAATGTCCAAGTAAAACAGGAATAGATAAAGTGGACAATCCTGACGAACACCAGTCAAAGTAATCAGTCCAGATGATAGTTCGCCATAATCTCTCAATCGGACAGTAGTGTTCGAGTGGAGAGCTTGTATAAGGTTAATGTACTTCTCTAGCACACCTTTCAGTAACAGTGTCTGTGTTACAAGACCTGTCGAAGTGTGAATATTTGGTCTATACATCCACGTCCAGGTCTGAAACAAGCCTCGTTTTCTCGAATCTGCTCTTCACCAGCTCTAGTTAGGCGTCTAAGTATTATCAAGGCTAACATTTTAGATACTATATCAGTTACACTGATCCCTCTGTGACTGTCACAAGAAGACTTTTATCCTTCCTTATAGATTCGGGTAATCATTGATTGAGACCAGTCGGATGGGATTACGTCCAGTTGCCATATTTTACCTAAGATCTTAGTTAATCTAAATGCTAAAACTGGAACACAATCGTTCAAAATCTCAGGGGTTAACCTATCAGGGCCTGCTGCTCTCCCTCGCCGTAGATTTTCTATAGCCTTTAGTCGAAGGACTTACGGATCAGGGCAGACGCAGTGAACGGACGATGCAGATAATTTAAAACATGACTTGGGACTAATTTATTCACTAAATGAAAACGAAATATTAAGAAGGCCGTTTCATTTTTTATATTTCAGTACTCTTGCTAAACGCAGATTAAAGATAACATTTTATAGATTACAGTGTAGCCCTGAACTTTCCACAATAGAAATATTTTGTTAATTCATAAACAATAAATATACCAATAGAATACAAGTATATGACCGAGGTTGTTGTACTCATATTGAAAAATAAGATGAGTAATGCCTGACAAAAAGGACGTAAAGTTATTAAACAGTGCCACGAAGGAAGTAGAATAATATTACAAATATTCATTCGAAAAAAGTGCTTCTTACCTTTAAGACATCTTCATCATGTCTGTCATATGTGTCTTCCACTGATAGGCGACCATGAAATCGAAAATATCTTAGTATCCTTAAGTAGTCTTCTTTTATTCTAGCATCTGGATCGCCTACAAATCGTATGCGATTATTATTCAGGTCATCGCGACCGTTGAAATAATCCCATAAATATCCTAACACTTTTCGTTTATTACTTGTATCATTTTCTGTTGTAGTGGAATCTGCTGTTACTCCATTAACCTCACCAATTAACCACTGCATATCAACACTTAGGAACATTGAATTCACTGTAAGATCTCTTCTTTCAGCATCTAACTTCCAGTCATTTGTAAAGACCACTTCACTATGCCTTCCATCTGTGACAACGTCAATACGTAAAGTGGTGACTTCAAAATTTTCCTGAGAAAATAAAACGTTTATCTGAAATTAACTAAATTTAAATGTGTAGAAAACAATTCAGGTTTATATGATTAGCTAGAATATTTAACCGTCCATGAATTTTGTGAACAATATTACTTCAACCAAAAAGTGTGAATTTTACGTATACCGTATTCTCTGTTTAGTTTTTTCTGTCATTATTTTGATTCCTTTCTAATTTATTTAATTTATTTCAATGTGGTATTATAGTATGGTAAATTGGACAAATAAAAATCTGTGTCAGATCCTCTGTTGGTTACTACTGGCTAACTAAATAAAAATACATATTTAATTTATTGATGAAAAAAGGCTTCGTATACCGCTACATGGTGTCCAAATATGATGTGAACTACAAGGGTGATATACCAAGAATACGGTTGAAAAGTAACCGTCTTAACAAGTTTTTGGTTATGGTAATAAGAAAGTTTAATTCACTCTAGGAATTACAAGAATATTATAGTGAATGCAATGAATAACCAATATGAAGCTTAACTTCATTTGCATTTGCAGGTCGGTTAGAGCCAATGAGTGTTAAAGTATACGGAGCCTAGTTAGAGAATTCGTTGATGGTTGACTCCATTACATCACATACCGACTGAATATCGATCTGTACAAACAACTCACTTCTAGAATGAGAATTTCATGACATTGCTGTGTACATTCATTGTTGTCTGACAATTCAAACAACTGGATAGCTGTATGAATTTACGATAGGGATGTATTGTAGCTAGGATGACTCAACAAAGTTGATAAACATAAACAAAGAAGCATTTGAGGGGCTACTGACCATCGGTATCTGACTGGTAAAACTGGTCATAGACTTGAAACCTTTCTAGTAAATTTATAAATGGCTTAGATTTATCAGTGACCCACAACCATTAGAAAATAGGCTAGATAAAGTATTTAACCCAAATTGATCAAAAAGTGTCACCACTTTTTTCATAGCCGGGAACAAATAACGACTAGGACCAGTATCCCGACCGTAGCTGCTACCTTGACGTGGTGGTCGGGCTTGACTATCCTCATGACCCAACCGAGCTATACTGGCTGGAACATATGTTCCTCAAGGTTCTACCATGCCAGGCTGGTCGATTGGAGAACGATGAGACTAAAAGCAGCTACCCAAGGTCTGAGGGCGAAGTCGTACTGCTGACTGAAGAGGGGTGTGACAGCAGTAAGGTGTTTCCCTCGGACAACCAGCATCTGCAGCGATGCTGTCTTCTCACAAGGTCGGCCCTAAAAATGTCACACCTCCCCTAACTCACGGATTTCCGTCTCCGTCGGTAACGGTGCCCACTAAGGGCCTTTAAGAACGGAGCTAATCCTAGAAATACCTTTCATAAAAAGGCCGCGCGTGACCGGCCTCAAGCAGTTGTCCCTTGGACTCTGCGGTCACGCACCAACACTAATCTATCTTCCTTTTCAGGTTCCTCAAGAAACAACCTTCCACGGTGTGGGCAGCCGGGAAGTGACAACCGCCCTCATACCCATAACAGCACGCGAGACCAAATTGGTCAAAATCAAATCCTTCCTACACCCCCTAGTACCTCTCTTATCTCCACAACTAACTCTTCTCACATTCATTCATCACAGTGCACAGCTAGTGCAGACGATACGAGTTCGCGAAACGTCGTTCCTGGTCTCCTTAAACCTCGCTCTAGACTACATGTTGGAGCATTTAATGTACGGACATTGTGTCAAATAGGGCAACAGGCTTCCTTAGCTCGGACTTTAGAATCTCGTGCCATCGATGTGTGCTGCGTCTCGGAAACGCGCATACAGGATCCTAGTAAAGTCATTAACCTGATTCCACCTTGTCAAAACGAAGAAGCAGCTCGATTTACCCTTCGTGTATCCGGTAGCCCTGATGCTGCTTCCAGGGGTCTTGCTGGCGTAGGCATAGCGTTGAGTCCTAGGGCAGAATTATCTCTCCTAGACTGGATCCCAGTAGATAGTCGTTTGTGCGCTGTCCGACTGAACGGGACAGTAAGGACTCGGAAGGATAGGGACACTCGCCGTTGCCTCTTCGTCATATCTGCCTATGCCCCCACTGAATGCAGTGCAGACGAGGTTAAAGATGAGTTTTACAGAAAGCTTTCGGACCTCCTCCAAAAAGCTAGGCGCTCTGATATAGTAATAATGGCTGGTGACTTTAATGCTCAAGTAGGTAGACTAAGTGAGCAGGAGAGACACCTAGGTGGATGTTATGGTGTCGCGGCTCAGAGAACAGACAATGGTGACCGTCTGTTGCAAGCATGCTCAGACAACCGCCTATTCTTAGCAAACACTAACTTTAGGCATAAGGAAAAGCATCTGTTGACCTGGCGACCTCCAAAGTCATCTCAACGTTGGACTCAACTAGATCACATCGCCATCAGCCACCGATGGAGGGGTTCGATAGAGGACTGTCGCTCGTTCTGGGGCACATGCCTAGATTCAGATCATGCCCTAGTGCGAGCGCGTATTTGTTTGAAGCTTACTGGGCGTAGGAAAGACACCGTAAGAAAGCCTCTTAGGGTTTTACTTAATGATAATCAAACCAAGAAAATATTTCAGGAACAACTAGAAAGACAGTTAGGCGACCATTTAAGCGATTCCCATCCGGAAGCAGGATGGAATGATATCAAGAAGGCTGTGGAAACAGCAGTGATATCTGCTAGTAAGGTTGACCATAAGGCTAGAATGAAACCGTGGATCTCAGTAGCATCCACCGATCTGATGGATGCCCGAAAACTCATCCCACCTGGCTCTGAACATGATGAGAACGAAGTCAGCTTAGGCGCAGACTTATAAAAACCCTACGTAACGATCGCGAACAGTGGTGGGTGGCGAAAGCAAAAGCGATGGAAAAGGCAGTGGCGATCGGCAACAGTAGACAACTTTTCCGACTTATCAAGGAAACTGGTATTAGGAATCCTAGTGTAAGTGAGACTATCTCGGAAAATGACGGGACTATTATTTATTCTCAATCCAGGAGACTGGATCGATGGGCAGAACACTTTAGGGATCAGTTCAACTGGCCTCGAGCCACTCTTCAGTTACCCACGATCTCCAGTCATCCTGAATGGCAAATCGACCTAAGTCCCCCTAGTCTTAATGAAGTTGAAAAAGCGTTAGGAAATCTGAAGCGAGGACGAGCTGCAGGTCCTGATAGACTGACCCCTGAGATATTTAAGGATGGTGGTCCAGTTTTAGCGGTTAGATTAACTGAGATCTTAGGTAGAATATGGCAACTGGACGTAATCCCATCCGACTGGTCTCAATCACTGATTGTCCCAATCTATAAGAAAGGACAGAAGTCTTCTTGTGACAATCACAGAGGAATAAGTCTAACTAATATAGTATCTAAAATATTGGCCTCAGTAATACTTCGACGCTTAACGAAAGCTCGTGAAGAGCAAACTCGAGAAAACCAATCTGGTTTTCGACCTGGGCGTGGCTGTATAGACCACATGTTCACACTACGACAGGTCCTGGAACACAGACACACATTTAGGCGTCCTACAATAGTTGTTTTCCTAGACCTTAAGGCGGCATTTGACTCTGTGAATCGTGAGGTTCTGTGGCAGTGTCTGTCATTGAGAGGTGTACCAAATAAGTACATTAACCTCATACAAGCTCTCTACTCAAACACCACTGGTCGAGTGAGAGCTTATGGCGAACTGTCACCGGAATTCTCTACTTCAAGTGGTGTCCGTCAGGGATGTCCACTTTCTCCATTCTTGTTTAATTTTATCATTGACATGCTCCTAGAAATAACCTTATCCTCGTCTGAATTTTCTGGAGTAGACCTTTTACCAGGCGGCTCGCTTATTGACTTAGAATATGCCGATGACATAGTCCTACTTGGTGAAGACGCTGACAAAATGCAGAGTCTTCTGACTACCCTAAGCAACAATGCAAGCATGTTCGGGATGCGGTTTTCCCCCTCGAAATGCAGAATGTTGCTTCAAGACTGGGTTTCATCGGCACCTGAACTAGTGATAGGGAGTGAAGTAGTCGAGCGAGTAGACCGCTTCACTTATCTTGGGAGTCTCATCAGTGCCGACGGCCTGGTGACTGACGAAATCTCAGCACGGATACAGAAGGCTCGATTGGCTTTTGCCAACCTGCGTCACTTATGGCGCAGGCGAGATATCCGTTTGCTGACTAAAGGACGAGTGTACTGCGCAGTGGTTCGCTCCGTCTTACTTTATGGCTGTGAAACATGGCCAATGAGAGTAGAAGATACTCGTCGGTTACTGGTTTTCGATCATAGGTGTCTTCGAAGCATTGCTCGTATATCGTGGGACACCCGAGTGAGCAACGCTGTTATTAGGAATCGGGTGCTAGGTAAGAATGACAGATCAATAGATGAAGTAATGAAACTTCATCTGTTGAGGTGGTTGGGACACGTGTTGCGTATGCCTAACCACCGACTGCCTCGTCGAGCTTTGTTTTGTAGTGTAGGAATAGGTTGGAAGAAAGTTAGGGGCGGCCAAACCAAAACATGGCATAAATCCATGAAGTCATTGACGAGTGGACTGAGCCATGTTGGTAATTGTCGACTACCTGGTTGGGGTCCGCGAGATGATAATAATCGATGGCTAGAGACTTTGGATGACATGGCTCAAAATCGTTCGCAATGGCGCCGGTGCATTTATTCTTTGTGTTCTCTCAAATCCTAATCTTCTGGATTCTTCAACACCTCTAGCTTTTACTTTCTAAACTTATCTCATTGAATAATATCTTCTAATTCTAACCTTTCCGATTACTTCTAATACCTTTACTACCTCTTCTACTATTGGATTTGAATTGACAATTATATCTCTGTGCTGATGTGGTATGGCGACATGAACTGATGTACTTACGTACGTAGTTCTACGTTGCAACTGACTGAGGACCAGTATAAAAGTACAGAACCTAATTTATACGCAAAAAAAATATTTTTTTAATGCAACTATGTAACTACGTACAGATTTACGTGCTAGAATTCGATGATAACCAATTTATTCTGTGATTAAATGAGGAAAAGACAAAGTGTAACTAACGGTAGCGAAAGTGCAATTACTTGTTTGCGTCAAATCACTTAAATTTCAGAAGAATGTATTTCCCATTGATTTAGTATTTCATAATTTCGGACAAACTAACTAGTAACATCGGTGGTGAAGAAAGCAAGAATGATACCCATTACGATATAGAACTTTTATTAAAAGTATCTATAAGATGTCCGAATTCACCAGAAAGTAATGAAAACTTATAATTACCATCAACAGTATTGATAAATACCATTGCGAACCTGGATCCTTTACTTTCCAAAGATTGGAGAATAAACCAACAGTTTACGGAAAATCAAATTTTAATTGAACTCTTTCATCAAGCAATAGTTTATGTACTAAGCTCATGAAAAAACACGGTCTTCTAAACTGAGGTAGATGGTCCGAATATATGGCTTAATTGATAGGAGTAGAGTCCTTTAACCAGCAAACCGAAATTCCTAATCATTTACCAAAAATATTGAGCATATGTCGTGATGGGTATAGGAGCCAATGACGTTCAGGAGGGAAATTAAAGAATGAATTTGGATTTCTTATTTACAAACAAAATGTTATTGACAACACGCCTACCAATTAGTAACACAAAAGAAAATACATTAAATAAACAGTCCATGTAAATATAACTAAACCTTATCATTAATTCTGGCTGTAACAGTTCCATGTGACTCTCCGTTTTTATTCAACATTCGAATTCCTTCCTTGGAAAACATTTCACACATTTGGGGCGGAGTAGCATCTGTTGCAAAATCTATGTCATGTGGAGAAATCCCGAGCAAAATATCACGCACTGCTCCTCCAGCGATACGTAGATCATATCCATACTTTTTGAAAATTTTATGTATAATGATGTTTTCTTCAGTATATAACTCAGGAAATGGAGTTAAATCTATTGTATCTGTAATAAGTGAGCGTTCCATTGCAATTGACATAACAGTATCTAAGAGATAGGAGACAATTAAATGGAAAAATTTACTGAGAGATAATATTCTTTTAGTAATCAGAGGACGTATCAGGCGGAACATAGCATCCCTTACTTCTGGTCTAAAGAGACTTGCAACATGAAGTTCTCTAAAAACAACATTGTAATAAACAGTCAACATTTAGTGAAAAAATAACTAACACTATAAAAGAAATCATTATAGCGCACAATGATTAAAAACATTTAAGCTTAGAGTCGTATCAGTGCCCAGGCCTTGATAGATTGCAATGTAGACTGTTACCAAAACAATTATTTTGAATATTATTAATGTAAATCGCTAATGAAGTACAGGTTCATGTTTTCAACATTAATTCAGCTTCCATGAGACTTTAGTGATAACTTCGTACTTTTACGGATGCTTCGGCAATCTTTAACAGCTTACTTCTACCAGTTTTACTGCAATGTTTGTTAAAGTTCTATACTGCACTTTCACATTGATATGCATGGCGTATATACACCATAACATAAGTAGCACTTGAAAAAACATTTTGGTTGCGAGAAAAATGGTCGGTACACGATTGATGCTTATAGAATCCAACCTGTTGATCTCAAAGCTGGTTATCTATAGAATCCTTCATTCTGTTCAATAACTGTGTTGAAGAACTTTCCTGGTACTGAGAGAGGAATGATGCTTCTGTATTTCTCACGCTTGCTGAGATCTTCGTATTTTGGTAGGGTGTCTTTCTTTCTGGTCTGTTGGTACTTGTTCTTTCTCCCAAATCTTGCTGAAGAGAATCTAGAGTATCTTTGCAACTGCTGTTATGTCTGCTTTCAGTGCCCAGCTGAAATGCTGTCTGGTCCTGGAACTAACGAATTTATTAGAGCTTTTACGGTTCATTTGGGTTTTATATCAGGACTCAGTTGCATTGTGAATAAACACTAACCAAACGTGAACATAGAAATTCCTGTGCAGTAAGAAATACAATATAGGTATATAAAACACTCTCTGATTTAAACCTCTTGAAATGCGTTGTTCTTTATAACACGGTCCTAGGTTTTATCTCTATAGTGGTTTACCAACGTTGCTTCCGTCGAGTGTTTCAATTTACATAGGATATGAACATTTTCATTTAGACAGACAGGAAGAACTTGAGATTATTTGTATTAAGTGGCTTGAACTAAGGAAAATTAGTCCCAATAAGTGTAGTGATACACATTAGTCAAGCTATCACCAGCTTTCTACAAATGAAATGTTACTTCTATGAATATGATGGTAAAATGACTAGGAAGACTAAAAACTATCACTGAAAACGAGTGCTAAGAGTTTTAGATGTAAGTTTATATAACAAGTTTTCTGACTTAAGGTAAATAAAGATATCCTCAATATAGATTCTAGCGTTTGAGTTAAGGAATATTAGGTGATTTCAGTCAAACAGTCAAAACCAACATGTAGCCTGGTACAAATCTGCATTGGCATAAAAAAAAATTAACGAGATGATACTTAAGGCCGAAATAACAACAGCACCAATACTCATGAGAAAGATTAAAAACTGAGGAATAGGGTCCAACAAGAAGAAACGAATCAGAAAAATAAAATCCATAAATACAGGACCTTACGACTTTCAGGTAGATAAAATGGACCTTTACTACTGTGGCTGATTCTGGAACATGGAACTTAGTCCCCCATGCAAGCAATGTACACCAATTAACATGCCACAGTTCAACAGTCAGTGGCTTCATGGATTGATACCATGTCCTGGTATGACCACCACTGTCGATTTTGCACGTTAAAGTAGCCAGTAGTTGAAAGTACGTAACATACTTCCTAGCCATCCCACTTAACAAATTTACAGCGCTATTAACTGATTTGCCATTTGCTAAATACCTGACGCTTAATCTCACCACTGCTCAGTAGACTGTTCCAGCATACGTAAGCAATGATTAGGAGCTACCTATAATCAATCGATCGATCAATCAATAGCAACGTAGAACTTCTTACGTATGTACATCAGTTCATGTTTCCATACAACATTAGTACAAAGATGTAATTGTCAATTCAAATCCAATAGTAGAAGAGGTAGTAAAGGTATTAGCAGTTAGGATTAGAAGATATTAGTCATGAACACAAAGAATGAATGCACCGGCGCCATTGCAAACGATTTTGAGCCATGTCATTCAGGGTCTCTAACCATAGATTACTAACATCTCGCCGACCCCAACCAAGTAGTCGACAACTACCAACATGACTCAGTTCACTTGTCACTGACTTCATGGATTTCTGCCATGTTTTGGTCTGGCCGCCCCTAGTCTTCCTCCAAACTATTCCTACACCGCAAAATATAGCTCGACGAGGCAGTCGGTTGTTAGGCATACGCAACACATGTACCAACCACCTAAACTGATGAAGTTTCACTACTTCATCTATTGATCTACCATCCATACCTAGCACCGGTTTCCTAACGACAGCATTGCTCACTCGGTTGTCCCACGGTATATGAGCAATGCTTCGAAGACACCTATGATCGAAAACCAGTAACCTACGAATATCTTCTACTCTTACTGGCCATGTTTCAAAGCCATAAAGTAGGACGCAGTGGACTACTGTGCAGTACACTAGTCTTTAGTTAGCAAATAGACATCTCGCCTGCGCCATAAGTGACGCAGGTCGGCAAAAGCCAACCGAGCCATCTGTATCCGTGCTGAGATTTCGTCAGTCACCAGGCCATCGGCACTGATGAGACTCCCGAGATAAGTGAAGCGGTCTACACGTTTGACTACCTATAATCGAAAACTTTTGATCTTTTCTGCATTCAAAGGCCATATTCTACAATAACGAAGTATTACCATTCAGTTGCAGAGGATGACAGAGCAAAAGTCTGGGAACATATCTGGAAGTACTAGACGTCAAAACTTAGTCGATGACGTTACCTTAAACATCGGCTTTTGTTCAGGTTCAAATAGTAGAATACTTATATCCTAAAGAAACCATGTGCCACCGAACTCGATTTGGAGTTTACACTTGTGGTCTTATCAGTTGTCTTTATCATATTTTTGAGATAATCATCAATATGGATGCTTTCTCAAGCGTATCGTACTCTTTATATTCTTACCTAGTGCTTTTCCTCCTGATTCATAACCTGAAGTTACTGCCATTCCGAAGTGCATTTACAACACAAGACCAGAGTTTGATATTTGTAAATGAAAGTGAGCTAAGAGCTTCATTACAATGATATGCGACGCTGCAAAATGTGCTGGTAGTTTTACAATCATTTATATGGGGTTATGTAGGAGGCCGCATGTCTTGCAATTGAGTTAAATAGTTGGTTATGGCTTATATTTAGAATTGATATGTTGTTTGCTACAACCCACAAAGATTCCGATAAGAAAAACCTCTCCTTAACTAACCGTACCAGAAAATTTTACAGTACCATTCCTCGTTCTGAGAAGTAACTTAACACAATCTGGAAAGCCGGAATAACAAGGCATTGAATGGCTCATAAGTAGCATGAGCGTTAGCAATAATGTGAGCTTTTCAAGAAAGCTACGGAAAGTCACCACATTAATATAGAATTAGTTCTTTATGTCTGCCGAAAATCCAAAGCTTCTAACTGGGAACTTTTCCCAATGTAGGAAGAAGTAATCGTCTCCGAACTCATCAAGAACTAGTCAAACAGACGAAAAGCTGATTTCAGTCTTTGAAACGATCACTTACAGATGAGATCTACATAAAATGAGGAAACTATTAGCTAAACTACACTGTTGCCACAAGTGTTAATATAACGACAGCTAAATTACACGAGATCAAGAAGCAAAAGTGCTAAATTAGTAGATAAAATATTGATTTGACTAGGTTTTGGAATAAGCTTTCGTGAGTGAATGAACAATAATAAAAGTACCGTATATTTTGTAATATTGCCGACCTTGTGTTATATCCAACATCCAATAAAGTGGGCTTCCTCGTCTTTTTAAAGTATCGTCTTTGTGACCATGTTAAAAATGAATGAATCGTAGAATATGATATTTCCTATTAGGATATGATCATTAGTTAGCATATAATCTAAATATGAGGAATTTTCACACTTCTTATTGCTGCGTCACTATCATTTTCAGTCAGTCCCGAGCTTCCGATGACAGTGACAGGCCGCTAGTGGAACCACCCTGTATGATTTAAACCCGACCTGCTGAGATTTTGGGATGGGGTGTTGAACTATCCAGCCAAATGAATTTAATCAGACGTCAGATAGTTCCAATGTCGCATGGATTTTCCTTCTGACCTGGAGTCCGTTAAATTTCTCCGATAAATTATTTTGTTTTACTTGTATTGAAGCAACACCGGGACATTCCTGTTATCTCGATTATTTCTTCACGTTGTAGTGTTACCGTTTTGAAGTGGTTGTAAATACATATCGTCGTTCCCTCATTTTTTATGTGCACCCCATCGTATCAGAAGAGTACTGTACCTCGTAAACCCATACATGGACTATGGTGTCAAGAAATAACCTTGTTTCTATCAGAATTGTGATCTTCTGATTTAGGTCAGTTTATCTAATAGTCCTTTCTCACTGCTATAGAAGCATTTCATGTTTGTTTCATCACCTACTGATCTTCTATAGCAGCATCTATTTTCAGGGTTTTTCATTTTGGCTTTCCTGCTCTCGTCTCACTGACCTAGGTCGTCTCTAACAACATCTAGTGTGACTAGAGAAATCATTTTTATTATCGCACTAGGCTAAAAGCACCTCCCCTCAGTTTTCGAAGTTCTAAGAAATGTGGTGAGGTGTAGTGAGGTGTACTGTATGAGATACTCATGGAATGTTATTTACTGTAGTAGTACAAAGGTCTATAATGTGTGAAAGCCATCAACTCTGTCGCATATCATATCCATGAGCTTCATTCTAACAATCACCCAGCAGCCCGGGTACCCTAAGAATCACGAAACAGGTTGTTCCATAGGTGCTGCTGATTTTCTAGTGGAATCTCTTATAAACTAAATTCTGTTAGGCCTGACTTGAATTTGAGGGAACAGCTTAACCGACGGCCCCTGGTTTCGTCCTTAATGTTTGCCAAGCCTGGAGTTACTGTCAGTTAACGGGGTATACGCTACATCCTCACCCTTCTAAAGGCGGTACATCTTTTCTGGAAGGCTCCTCATCCCAACTCAGCGTAAATGTCCCACCGATTTTATCAGAGGTCCCCCTAATTTCCAGTTATCTACCTTCCGACACCAAAACATTCAATAAAATCAGGGGATTTCGTCCACCGTCCTTATTCCCAAGTTTAAGCGTTTTTGTTGCTACCATTTTCCTTCCTAGCGCTTCAGAATTCTCCTTAGTGCTATCAGATACTGAATTATTTATAACAGCCGGCGAATTCATGGGTGCATAATCTCGTGTTATGGTTTCAATGGTCACTTGTTTAGTTGATCCTATGTTGGATGACTTAGATGTACTGATGAGAATCGACATGGTTGTTCTCAATCGGGTATTAAGCCTTTTTTTCGTTAGTTCCTTTGGCTTATTTTTCCTACATTATGGGCAAATATATCAGAACCATGGGCATATTTCAAATAACATGAACCTGTATTATTGCCTTAGTACTGTATTTCCACAATGAGAGTGAACCTAGCCTCTCTAGAAATTATGATCAAAAGATGAGTCTCTGTTCAAAAGAGCGACAAGCGTGCCACACAGTCATTGTTTATGTGGTCATTCTCACTATTATGCTGCTTAAATGGGAGTTTGGGATGTCCTATTCCCCGATTCATTTTTGTTCAATTGTCTTTCTTGAAGTTGAAATTTGGCCGGGGTATGATCCTAATTTCTTAGTTGGATACTTAGTTAGATTGTTATAATCAAGTGATCTATGTTTTAGACATTACTTTATGAACCATTTTCCAGTTTCATCTGAGTTTTTCGATAATTCTGTTGCTTTAAACAAGAATTTTTGACTCATCGATCCCTCTAATTTAAGACATTTACTAATCGTCCCAGTAGTTATGATATCAGTTCTGCTTGTAACGCTATTACTGTGTATGCTGCTTAGTATACTAAGACGTGGAATGTTAGGCAACTTGAAGAAGAAATACTCAGGATACAAGTTGAGTAGAAGGGAAGCGACAATAAGTGAATATATACTATACAATAACAGAATCTAAAAGACACTTAAAAATACTTTGTTTGCAAGTGAATGAATGTATACAAGCTGCATCTGAAGTAGTTAGGTAGAAGTTGTTTGGAACAGCTGGGCCTACTACAAAGTAGTTTGGATTTAGTGTGAATTCCGTTGTCCAACAGCTGGGAGAGATGATGGTTGCATCCTTGTAAGTGTTTGAATATCCCAATCTGATAGTGAAGATCAGATTATCTGTTATCGGTGAAAGATCAATGAAGACTCGAATAGAGCGAAATTCATAGCGTTGTTGTTTCTGTCCTCTAGAACTGAACTTCACATAAGAGCTATAAAAAATTGACCTCTTATTCGTATTTTTTTCTAAGACTAACTCATACACTTAAAAGAAGATAATATCGAAAAGCATTGAACACATTAGACTCCATTCTGTGTTTATCTTAATGTTACTCACATGACAAGTGTCGATATACTAGAAAGAAAAGAGAGCTCTGAACGACAACAGTGAGACCATTCTTTCAACTATTTAAACACTGGTACCAAAGTTATCGTAGACGAAACGAAATCAGATAATAACAGTATCATAACACTCAAGTTAAGATATCCTGAAAACCGGTAGATGAATAAGATCCTCTTGGTTTACGGTTAAACAGTTTGGTCCGGAAGGCGACAGTTGTACGATCGGCTATACAGGTACTAGCTGCAAGTACAAAACTGCTAATAATAGGGTGTCATGACAACCTTACTGTCCTTCACATAACTTCAATACCTAGGATATAGAAAAGAGGTTCTTCAAGCCTATTATAGATAAATAATGTCCTTCACAGTCATACTAAGCACTCTAAAAACAGGTCTAGACTGTCACAACAGGACCAGGCGATAGAAACAACGAGCTAATCTATCACAATATCCCTTGATAAGCAATCTGTTGAGATAAAGATTGGGTATGAAGTCACGATAAACCATACAATGCATTTTCCACGATAAACAACTTAAGTTATTCGCAATCATCAATTACCTAGTACCTCAACAGACTTTGACCTGAAACTGTTACCAACAGAGGGATTAGAGTTTAGCGTCCATAAGGCATTCAGCTGCAGAGTGCATATTATTGGCAAAGCATTACCTCGCTTCTCGAGGAAACGGATGCACGTTATTGACTGGAAATATGATTTCATTTCTAACAGACAGGCATCTGTGTTTGTGAGTTCTTCGGGCATAAATGTTCGATTCAGTTCCCCAATGAAAGATTTCTGCTCACTCTTGATTTTCTCACTCATTTGGCTTGTAAATACAGCATATAAGATGTAATCATATCAGGAGTTCATTCGAACGATCACAGATCACAATAATTTAATATTCTCATCATTAAATATTAAAAACAGCAGTTAATCTTATGATTTCGTAAATTTTATACTTGAATTACATTGATTGAATAATGTTAACTAATGCCTTATATATTTTCACCAGCTTTGAATCAGTGTTCTTTATTTCATCGAGCCATCTTAGTCTTATCCCGTCGAACATGCAGCAGTTTTAACCACATCTATAAAAGTAACCATACTAATAGTAGTAATCAGTATTTGTATTGAAGACATTTCGTACGGTAATTAGTACCATGATGTCGTGGTTTATTAACAAACCTGTGCATTTTATATGATACGTATAAATCTTCTGTTCTCTTACATTTTGATAAAATAAGTATACATTTTCCCTGCAGTAATTTTTTACGTAGTTCAACTGATATATTCCTTCTTAATTTTCTGCTAACTTTTTTAACACTTTCTTCTGTAATGATATATTCAATCAAACAAAACTAATCTGATTAATAGTGAATAACTCACTAGTTCAGTAAACATATAACATAACATGAGATTATATTTACATGTCAATATTAACAAAATCATTTGATTTACTAGAAAATAAAAACAACTGATAATTGATATATTGCTTAAATATCATTATACTATTTTAATAATGATTCAAATTATGCTGACAACACTGATATGCTGTTGACTGAGATGTTCTTTGATGTTGACAGTTAGTAGTTGTTGGTTCAAAGTAAGTTTTTAGTTGACTGGTTAGTTCATTTTGAGAATGATAATTGGGAATGAATGCTTGTTTACAATTAGTTTCTTTCACTATACCAATCTCTATATGATTAACTTCATTTCTATTGAAATCAACAGAATGCTCCATATTATCTGCTGGTAATCGGTGATAATGAGATATTAAAGAAGATGAATCATTATATGAAGAAATATAAGATGGAAAATATGAATTTTTAAATATTGGATAATCATTTCTATCTGATAATTCTTCATTCGATGTGAAGGACATTGACCAATCTTTTATAGAATTATTATTATTATTATTATTATTATTATTATACATACTTGTTTCTTTTGTATGATAACCATTCAATATATGTTTAATATTACTACTCTCAGATACTTCTAAATCTATTGAATTATTGATATTGTTTATAGTATTATAATTAGTTGAATTGTTAAAAGTCGGTATATACACTGAAGAAGATAAAGTGGTTAAAAAGTTGTTTGTTAAATTGTATGGATTAATAGCTGATTTCGATTGTGTTGTTTGATAATAATTAAATGATTCTTGTTGATTACCATTGATTGAATGATTAGGACACCAGAATTGAGAATTTTCATAATATGGATAATGAAAACTAAAGTGGATAAATCAATTAAATAAATATTACGTAAGAACAAGAATATTAATTTTAATATTTAACAGAATTAATTACCGAAAAGTTCAACTCAAACAAAAAATGGACTGGAATTGAAAATTCATCTTCAGATCAAACAATTAACGCTGATATTCTCTGACTTAAAATCTCTAATTATACCGAAAAATGAAGCTATTTGGTTTATAAATGAATATCAAAATAATAGCAATTAATTATTCACAAATTAAGCTAATAAAATCACTGATCCTAAAAAAGTTGTTAGTTTCAGTCGACGTTGTTGACAAAGCAAATGAGTTACTTGGAAGATACCCTGAAGTAATAAACTCCAGATCGGTTTGTTGAAATATAGGCAAGAGAAATGCAAGGCTAAATTTTTGAGGTGTCTATGGCATTTACCACAACAGTTTACTATGATAAAATAGATACCTTATCTAATAATTGTGTACAAATTGTTTTAAAAGATATAATAATCTATATAACTGTGAATAGTGGTCAAAATGTTCTAGTGATCCGTCATATGTGAAGCGTGATCAAGTGGTTAACTGTTACTGTAAATGTAAGAAAGAAAATCAAGCTTCACTATTATTAAAAATACATGTAGACATCCCTTTAGTCTTATGAAGAGACTAGCTTAACAACATTTTATTGAGCTACATTTTTTTCCAGTAACTAAAATACCTTAAGTCTGTATATTTATCTTTGTTGTCAGCGTGCTGATATATATATATATATATATATATATATATATATATATTGTAGTGCCTTCACTTTTGTAAAGAGAATGCCATTGATTTAATAGAAACATTCATTATTATAACCAATTGTACCAGTGATTGTTTTACTGTACTTTTTGTTTATTCGTACGCGGTACGCGCAAACTTTCCGTTTTTATTGCTGCCATTTAGATTATATACTCACTGTAAATCCACCTGCCTTTTTCTCTGGCACGATTTCAGTATTCCTTTAATACCATGAAATTGCCAGCAAATATATTCCCTTGTATGGATTAATTCTTCTTCTCTGTCCTTGATTCTCGGAAATATTACACCTAGTGACGGGAAGGTAACTGATCTGTAGTGGTAATCATAGTCAACCTCGACTCGTCCCACTAAAATATAGTGCAGGCGAGACGTATCCTAGACATGTTGGCATTGTTTTTGAAGATTCTCAAGCTTGTCGAAATGGAATGCCTCAATATTACTGACTCACAAAAAAGCAAGACTTGTGACGTTCACATTCACTCAGATGATATTCAATAATTTAAATTTTCTCTGGTTTTTTTTATAAACAGTACACTAGAGAAGAAAATAAAATTGAATAAAAAAACTTACTCATATTTGACTTTTTCATTATCTTTACATTCTTTTTTCTGTTTCATTCGTCTGTTTTGAAACCAAATTTTAATTTGACGTTCAGTTAAGCCAAGTTGATCAGCTAATTCTAATCGTCTTGGTTGACCTAAATAATTGGAATAATGAAATTCTTTTTCTAATTCAACTAATTGTACATTTGTATAGGCTGATCTAGCTCGTTTATTTGTTGAACTAACAACCACCACCGTGGATGACGTTGATGATGATGATATTGATGATGTTATTGATGATGCTGATGACATTGTTGTTGATGATACAGGAAAAGTTATTGGTTCTTTAAATGAAACGTCTACGACATTTGTAGTAGTCACATGATTATTGATTTGTCCATTTTTGATTATTGACTGATTATTTAACGCTGGCGGTGTGATAATATTATGGTGATTATTATTATTATTAATAATATTGACACAAGAATTACTATTGCTATCCATATATTCAATAGATTTTTGACATATTGGAGATTTTAAATGTCCTATAGAGAATGGAAAAAATAACAGTATATATAAATAAATACACTTAAAGTTTGTTTAAGCATCATGTACAGATTGATATTCTCCGAGTTTATAATTCACTTAATGGTTTAATCCATAAGTAATAGATTAATAAAGAATTAAATTCTACTTTGAAGATTTGTGCCTGCATATTATTAAATGAGTTTAGTTAGACAACCATTAGGAGTCAAGAATCGTTAGACAGCTTTCTATATAAACACTAATCAAATCATCAAGGATGAGTCCCTGAATTCCAAGTGAGAAGTTATGACCCATAGAGTTCAGACTTGACAGAGGTGAAATAGTTGTCTCCAGTGGCATTAGATGGTCAGTTAGTTATATTATAAATTAACTAGACATGCAAATGTTCACTTTTGCATGCCAATCCACTAGTCTAAGTTTAGGCTATTGTCACAAGACTTGACGATCCTGAATCCAGTTTTCTGTCGTGTTCTAGAGTACGATAATTAGGTTTCATGTACTGGAATGAAGTTATTCATCCTTACAGTTAGTGAATTCACTCATGACGAAAACAAAAACATGATTTGATTTTTACTTTTCTATTAAAAAAACTGACAGAAATTGTTAAATGTTTTTTTTATAACTATCTATTCAGTAGTGTATTGTCATTCACTCTAAAACAAATTAATCAAACGATATGTTTATACTTTGAAATAATTCTCTTGATGGATTAACTTCAGCTTGTGCGTCATTGAAAACCAAGGAACTCTCGATAGACTTTCCATCATTAGGTAAAACTCTTCAACAATATGCGATAACGACTCCGTTGTAGTGGGATAAACTTATCGTTTTTGACAACAGACAGACAGATACAACGCAGAACTTCGTACGTAAGTACATCAGTTCAGGTTTCCATGCCCCATCAGCACAGAGACGCAACTGTCAGAAGTATTAGCAGTAATAGAGAAGATTAGGGAGCGAAGATATGATTCGAGAAGTATAATTCAGTAAGATAAATTTAGAAGGAGAAAGAGAGATTATGAGGAACTCAGAAGGTTAGAATTAGAGATAACACAAAGAGTGGATGCACCTGTGCCATTGCAAACGATTCTGAGCCACGTCGTTCAAGGTCTCTAACCATCGGTGACTATCGTCTCGCGGACCCCAACCAGGTAGCCTACATCTACCGACATGACTCAGTCCACTTGTCAGTGACTTCATGGATTTCTGACATGTTTTGGTCTGGCCGCCCCTAGCTTTCTTCCAGTCTACTCCTACACAGTTAAAGAATCAAACAATATCGTAAAATAGTCATACTATAATCCCTGAAATTCAATGCTTCACCGATAAAAAGCTTTGATGGATGAAAACCATTCGAAAATTGAACTAATCGTAATAACCGGTCTTACTAAAACTTATAAGAACACCCATTTATATATATATATTTGTAAATATATATATATATATATATATATATATATATATATATATCTTATCACTTACAATACCTCAGAACAAATCACAGTTTCTTTGACAGTTTAACGGATGAGTTAATTTAGAGTGAAATGTATTTATTCAATTTATTTAATCAAAATAAAAAATGATTCAATGCAACCACCGTTTTAATGATTTGACCAATTCGTTATATTATAATTATTTATTTGTGTGTGTTTTCTTTTTGCATAAGAAATTATTCTTCCCATTGAAATTTCAATCAGTTTTATAGAATTAATTAATAGTTAGTTTCACGTATTTTACATTATTCAGTTAATCGGACAAAATTTTCCCTACATCATTTTGTCTTGGCCCACTTGACTTTGCATACTTCCAATCGTTTTTTATTTTTTATTTTTTTGCCTCAATTCTTTCATTCTATCCATATCTTTTGCTCATTTTAATATTTCAACTCACCATCACCACGCCCCTGATTCGGCCAGTTGAACGTTCTTTTACACTCCCCCCTTCCTCTTGCATGATTGTCATCATTATCATAGTCATCTTTATTTTTATTTTTTTCTTATGAAAATTTATTCATCAATAAACCAATTGTAATTGTCTATTTTCTTTGCCTTCTTAATTTGACAGTTAAAACTATTTCAGAAAACAAGTTTAAATTTGATCGAAGTAAGAAATATGGAGAAAAAAATTTATATTATTTCACTTTCTATCATTTCAGTTCTTGTTTCGTTGTCCTCTTTCTAGAGTTATTTTGATTCGATTACACATACACATACACAGATATACATTTATGTACGCACACTAACCATCAGTTTTTCTGTAGATTTTACCAAGTGACAGATTTCTACTTGATCTACATACACACCGACCAACCCATTTTTAACCATTTAAAACATTTCTGCTTTAGGCAATTTAAATTATCAATATACTCATATGTATTTGGACCCATATACATGGTAATCTTATCACCACACCATAAATGTACAACAAACGAAGGGTAATATACTGATGTGAAGTGAAATAAACTTCGGTAACTTGTATCCTTCAATATCTGAAGGAATACACAATCATTTCATATATATACACATAAACTTGCTTTAGGGGGAATATATATATATATCTTTTGTGAGTGTGCACATAACAATTTAAAAAGAGCAGGCGACCAAGCTCACCTTATTTGATAAACCCTATAATTATCTACACTTGACTGCAAATTTATAAATGATGATAACTGTTTTTGGGATAACGGACACTGATACTGATATTAATTAACATATTTTAATCGAAAAAGAAAAATGAATTTTTTTTACAATAACAAAATAATCAACTGTAACAAACATTGAAATTAAATGAAGGGAAACAGAAAGAAAGGGCTTATCATTGAAATGATAAATCTTGCTCACGAGTTATACAACACAGACCCATATATGTGCATAGTATACACTCATACACTCAATCAAACCTACATGTAATGATAAACATGGAGATAAAAGCTTTACTTGTAAAAAAAGAAGAAGAAACATTTATTGAAATCAATAATCTATATAAATTTTTCAAAAGTTTACTTCCCATATATATCTCATCTCGAATAATATTTCTTTATATTATTACCTTGCGTAAAATAACCTTTATCATTTACATTAATATAATCTGTGAATTATTGAACATTGAAATGGTATGAACAAATTTAATTTTTGAATTCATTTTATAGTATTCATCTATGAGAAATATTTTGTTTAACTTTTTAAATTCTTTAAATCACTTGATTAGTTTTATTTGACGTTGTTCTCAATAATATTCTATCAAGATTTCTTCTGTTAATATAGTATGACTTATTTTAAAATAGAATTTAATATTAAAGTCTTTTTATCTGAAATCTTTTCGAAATATTTACTGAATGATAGATTGATAATTACAATTGTGATTACATTACATTACATTCTTCTTGGAACTAAATCAGAAAATTGATTTTGTTTTCGGAACTAATTGTTTACGGTGTTTTATTATTCACTACTGATATTATTGTTTCATTAATATTCATTTATGTAGATGATATTTTCTAGAAAGGAATAATTAGTTTAGTGGAGATTACTGAATGTTTTTGAGATCACTAATTAATCTATGTTATGCCGCTACTGAGAACCAAGAAGCACTGGGTAACTTTTTCGTCTTAATGTAGGACTAATGTTGATAAATTGTAATTGTATTCCTCCTATAGTTATTATTACTATTATTATTTGGTGTTACTGAGTTATCTGAGTTAGATGGGTTAACTATGAGGTCTCTTCGATTTACATAATCAGTGCTTACCTCCGCACCTGTACAAGTATGCCAGAAATTTGAATGAATGACAGCTTAATCACGTCAATCGCTGTGTTGATGAAAAATGATTAACATTTGCAGATTCAGTCAACTGGTAATAAAATTGGTCAATAATATATTGCTATTAGTGTCAATTATTGTTATCCCTATATAAATCTGAACTTTGCTAGTAATGACTTTTACTAGAAGTCCAAAAACATCCTGAAGCAAATCACTAGTGAGATGCGTACTACAATTTAGCTGATAAAATGTTATGAAGATTGGCTAAATTTACAGTTTATATTAATATCAGATTATTTTCAGTTTAGGTATCATTACAAACCTAGGAGAACTAGACCATTGTTTCATCCTAGTAAGAGACTCCTCGACCATGCATAATCAAAGCGTAGGCAGGAATCAGTTTTTGAAATTCTAGTGATAACTCGTAACTTTTAGAGTTTAACATAACATCAGTGTGCACTGCTGAGTAGTCGCAAATTAAAACAAAAACGTGATATCTAACCTTTCCCTATCTTCCATATATACTTCAACAGAGACCAACATATGATCTACAACCTATAAATAAAAATCAAACTATACTAGACACCAACTACATTTCAATTCATGACATTTTTATCAAATGTACAAATTGATAATTGAAGTAGCTTTAATGAATTGAATGTTTGATTTTAAAATTTCAGGTTTAATATCCTACAGTTTTTTTTCATCTTATAAGAAGAATTATCAATACTTCAAGAATGACAAGAGATATTTTATTGAATTAGGTGAGTTTTATGAAATAGAAAAAGAATAAAACAGAACTATAAGTTATAAACATTAGTTAAAGCATAAAATCTAACTATAAGAGTCTGAGACATATTGATTAGTAATATATAAGTAGAATTATCTAAACGAATTTACTTCAAAGTGTTTCTATTATCAAACGGATATGCATTCTTTAATGAAGACAGATTCAAATCCACACTGACAAATAATCATTTCATGATTGTACTGATTGTAAAACATTAAGTCAGTCAGTCAGTCAGATGCAACGTAGAACTTTGTACATAAGTACATCAGTTCATGTTGCCATACCACATCAGCACAGAGATATAATTGTCAATTCATATCCAATAGTAGAAGAGGTAGTAAAGGTATTAGAAGTAATCAGAGGGGTTAGAATTAGAAGATATTATTCACGAAGTATGATTCAATGAGATAAGTTTAGAAAGTAAAAACTAGAGGTGTTGAGGAACTCAGA